CAGTCTCCGCTCTAATTCATCCCAAAGGTGTTCTATGGGGTTGAGGTCAGGACTCTGTGCGGCCAGTCACGTTCCTCCACCCCAAACTCCCCCATCCATGTCTTTATGGACCTTGCTTTGTGTACTGGTGCGCAGTCATGTTGGAACAGGAAGGGGCCGTCCCCAAACTCCTCCCACAAAGTTGGGAGCATGAAATTGTCCAAAATGTCTTGGTGTGCTGATTCCTTACCAGTTCCCTTCACTGGAACTAAGGGGCGGAGCCCAACCCCTAAAAAACAACCCCACACCATAATCCCCCCTCCACCAAACTTTACACTTGGCACAATGCAGTCAGGCAAGTACCGTTCTCCTGGCAACCGCCAAACCCAGACACGCCCATCGGATTGCCAGACAGAGAAGCGTGATTGGTCACTCCAGAGAACACGCCTCCACTTCTCTAGAGTCCAGTGGCGGCGCGCTTTACACCGCGGCATCCCATGCTTTGCATTGCACTTGGTGATGTAAGGCTCGGGTGCAGCTGCTCGGCCATGGAAACCCATTCCATGAAGCTCTCTACGCACTGTTGTTGTGCCAATCTGAAGGCCACACCAAGTTTAGAGGTCTGTAGCTATTGACTCTGCAGACAGTTGGCGACTTCTGCGCACTGTGCGGTTCAGCATGCGCTGACCCCGCTCTGTCATTTTACGTGGCCTACCACTTCGTGGCTGAGTTGCTGTGGTTCCCAGTTGCTTCCCCTTTGTTATAATACCAGTAACAGGTGACCGCGGAATATTTAGTAGCCGGGAAATGTCACGGATGGACTTATTGCACAGGTGACAACCTATCACGGTACCACGCTTGTAGTCACTGAGCTCCTGAGAGCGACCCATTCTCTCACCAATGTCTGTAGAAGCGTCTGCTTGCCGAGGTGCCTCATCCTATACACCGGGGGCCATGGAGGGGATTGGAACACCTGAATTCAATGATTTGGCGGGGTGTCCCAATACTTTTGGCAACATCGTGTAGTTGTCATTGGGACAGGAAGTCAGGGAAATGTTCAGAAACAGATCACATTAAACAGACAGAGGCGCTGAGCTTCTCCAATCTGCCAAAAGTGAAACAACACATTATGAGGGGGGGGGGGACTTGGGTCAGATTGC